CACATAATCGTTAGATTCACCAAGATCGAAACGAAGGAGAAAATATTAAGGGCAGCCAGAGAGAAAGATCAAGTTACCCATAAAGGTAAGCCTATTAGGCTTACAGCAGATCTCTCAACGGAAACCCTACAAGCTAGAAGAGAGTGGGGGCCAATATTCAATATACTTAATCAACAGAACTTTCAGCCCAGAATTTCATATCCTGCCAATTTAAGCTTTACATTTGAAGGAAAAATAAAATTTTTTAGGAACAAGCAAGTACTCAGAGATTTTATTACCACCAGGCCTGCTTTACAAGAACTTCTAAAAGAAGCATTATACACAGAAAGGAACAACCAGTATGACCCTTTCTAAAAATACACCAAAAAGTAAAGAGCATTAACATAAAGAAGAATTTTTATCAACGAAAGGACAAAATAGCCAGTTAATATCAAACGGCAGCAACCCTAAATTTAAATCAACCAAATCTCCCAATCAAAAGAGACAGACAAAATCTAACGGTATATCCAAAGATATACATAGACTCAAAATAAAGGGTTGGAAAAAAAAACGTACCAACCAAATGGAGAGCAAAAATAAATAAATAAAAAGCAGGAGTTGCAATTTTTACATTTGACAAAATAGATTTCAAAGCTACAAGGATAAAAGGATTAATGTAATAATAAGAGATCTTACCACTCAGATACATAAGACCCATAATGAGATTTAGATTCAACGAGACAGAAAATTGATAACAATATCTGGGACTGGAACTAAGATCCAGAACAAATAAACTCAATAGGGCTCTCCATTTTAAACACACAAAATATACATTATCCACAAAATCTAACGATATATCTAAAGATATACAAAGACTCAAAACAAGGGGATGGAAAAAAACTCACCAACCAAATGGAGAGCAAAAATAAATAAATAAAAAGCAGGAGTTGCAATTCTCACACTTAATAAAATAGATTTCAAAGCTACAAGGATGCAAGGGTAAAAGGATTAATGTAACAATAAGAGATCTTAACACCCAGATACATAAGACACATAATGAGATTTAGATTCAACGAGACAACAAATTGATAACGATATCCAGGACTCGAACTCAGAGCCAGAACAAATAAACACAATAGAGGTCTCCATTTTAAACACATAAAATATGCATTAACCACTTTAAACACTCAAAATATTGATCGGCCATTATTGAAACCCATTTTAGGAATGAAGTAATATTCCTTTTTCCCTCTTTTTCTTTTTTTCCCCTTCTTTTTCTCTAAAAAAAAAAAAAAGTAAATAAACATCTGTCTTGATCAAACCATTGGATTTTTATCATAGCAGGGAATCGTGTATCCAAATAAACACTCTGTGATTGCTCATTTGCCTCTGGCTTGAACACACCTGGGCAGATGTTGTTTCTGTTTGCTTAGCACTCATCGGAGGCAGCTGGGGGTCTCAGAGCCTTCAAAATCCCTTTCAGCTTCTTTCTTCCAGCTGGAGGACGTGTTCTAACAACCCAGGGGGCCTGACAGAGACTGGTGTGGACTCTATTTTGGAGAGGCTGGCCAGGAAGGCCACACTCTTAACAGAAAATTTCTGGGGTAGGGGAAGGGACAGAGATGGGGTAGGGGTCACAGCATGGTCTCAGAGGCCATTACATGGTAACAGTGGAGGTGCCGCCCACCACGTCTCTGCAGAGTATGGTCACATTCAAAGGGCATCTCAAGACTTTTCCCGAAGCTGCTGGCAGGTCCTAGACGCAACCTTCCCACAGGCCCTCAGAGGACCCCATTTCTCCGCTTGCTGTGCTGACTCTCTAGGCTCAGCCTGGACACTCCACCCACCACTACAGGTGAGAGGCGGCAGACCGGCTCTTTCTGAAGACATCTCCTGCACTGCCTAAGGCTCCACCCTGGGTGATCTGGAAATGACTCTCAGCCCACTATGTGCCTGTTCCCACCCCCCACCACCACATTGAGAAGCAGAAGCAGAAGCAGAGAAGCCTCTACTTATATCCACCTGGCTGTGTTGGAAGCTGAGTATTATTTGTGCTGCCATACTTGACTTTCTTTCTGATATGGGACTTAACTATTATCTATCCAGTTACCATGCTCATCTGCATGTAGATGGTGTCAACGTTCTGGCTGGGAAATGAATGCAGAAAAACTTTCCAAAGCATGGCCTCAGTATCCACACACTCGGTGTTTCTGAGGAAACTAGAAAATAGATTGGTTAACATGATCTTTGATATGCTTGAAATTAATATGGGGGGGAAGTAAGGGGGTGAGAGGTAAGGCAAGATTGGAGTTCATTTAGCTACTTTTATTTTTATTTTCTGAGACAGAGTTTCTCTCTGTCGCACAAGCTGGAGTGCAGTGGTGCCATCTCGGCTCACTGCTACCTCTGCCTCCCAGGTTAAAGCGAGTCTCCTGCCTCAACCTCCTGAGTAGCAGGATTACAGGCGCGCACCACCAGGCCCAGCTAATTTTGTACTTAAAGTAGTGAAAAAATACAGTGTTTTGCTATGTTATCGAGCCTGGTCTCGAACTTCTGACCTCAGGTGATCTGCCATCTTGCCTCCCAAAGTGCTGGGATTATAGGCGTGAGCCACCATACCTGGCTTGCTACTTTTATATGTATGCTTAAAACATACATATAAAACATACATATGTTTAAAACATACATATAAAAGTAAGCCCAGTAAGCGGCCAGGCTGGCATGGGAGGGAGGGCGCGTGGGGCCAGGCAGGTGCGCTGGGGGCAGTCTGGACTCTCCACGGAGCCCCCAAGGGGCAAGCTTATCTATGAGAAAGCGTAAAAAAAAAAGCAAAAAGGCAAGCTTGGTCACTTTGGGAGACATGAACAATCATGTTGAGAGAAGGGAACAGGGAAGAGGGTCAGAGGGAGGAGGGAAGAGGAAGACCTAATGATGGCATCCCAGTCCCTCGTTCTAACGGTACCCAAAGCACCTTTAGATGCAAGTGAGCCAACAGTACAAGCTGAAGTTCTGTCGCTTACAACCAAGAGTGCCGTCTCCATCATTAATGCAATAAACGTGTTTGAGGGCAATTTTATACAAGCACTACTCCAAGAAGCTCTTGGGTTTGTAGCCTGGGCACTGTAGAAAGCTTTTCAGAGTTTTACTGAATTCTCTCACATCCTTCTGTACGCATTAGGAAACAGGCTAGAGACAACAGGATTCTGGAAGGTCACCACGCCAGAAGTGTGGGCTCCAGGACAGCCATGCCAAGTTTCTTCTTTGCCCTGGGCTGCCCTCTATCAGCTTCTGAGCATGTGTGTCTAAAACCTTGGAGAGGCTTCAGCAGTTGTTGAGAAGCACACCCCTCTTGGTCCCCTCCCTGCAAGGTGTTCCCAAGGTGGCCCCAGGCCTGTCTAGACGCTGGCCCTGAAGGGCACGCTCCTGTAGGGGCAGCCAGCTCCTCTGTGGGGAGGTCTGTCAGAAAGCATCCACGGTGGGCAGAAATCCACTTTCTCATCTAATTTCCACCCACCTGTCCTCATTCTGCTCTTCATAACACCACAGAATAATCCTTCCTCCCTGGACAGCTTTGCAGATATTGGGGTTCTGCTGACTTGTGCTCCACACATTGATTTTCTAGGCTGAAGACTATCAGTGCGTCAACTCCCCTCCCACAGGCTACTGCTGGCTGCCTTAGACACCAGGCAAGGGCACGGAATTCTAGATGTGTCTGACTAGTGAGGAATAAGGAGAGTCCCCCCCATCTGGGCAATGCTGGCATGTATAGATCCCAAGTGTGCATCCCTCCTTGGGCATAGAATGCTGTCAAACCAGTTATGTTCTAATCTGTTCCCGTTATGTTTCAATCCAAATGGGATGTGGAACATGGATTTGTGGACCCCTACATTTGGAAAAGAGCTTGGAAAAGGCATCTCCTCTAGTTTTTTTCCTGTAATAGTCGCCTGCACTAAACCTGAGCACACAGTGCCGCAAGCTTTAGCTGCCATTCTCTCTCTCCATGCTCCCCAAACCCTCCAGGAAAACCACGCTGTCCTCACGTTTCGGGATTCGGAGGGATGAGGCCCAAGGTTACCTTGGAAACTACAGAGCTGTGAGTCAAGGGAGTCTATCAGATTCCAGGTCCCGACTCTTCAGAAGGAGGGTAGTGGCTGCCACGCAGCAGAGGGAGGAGGGGTGTGTGCTCCACCCCACCCTGCTTGACACCAGCTTTGTCATCTTAGCCTTTGCTGCACCCAAGCCCTATTCTCAGAGCCCGGGCAGTAAACCACAGGAACCACAGGAGGCCCCTGAAGGGAACTCTGAGATTGCTGGGCCTGGGACTGGCTTCCTTTGTAAACTCTGGCTCTCAGAGCCAGTGCTCAGCAGGAAAACAGCCTCAGAGTCAGAGCCCCTGCCCCTCAAGAGCAGTCTGTAGTCCAGGGAGGAATCACCTTGCCTGGAGAGGGGCTCCCCAACTCCTCACATTCAGGGGACATCCTGACTGATTCCACTGGGAACTGTGTCCCCTTCTCAGGACTACATTCCTCAATAGGCCTGCCAGCCTGGCTCATCACTGTGTGAGCCTGTCACCTCTCCCGGGGGCAGAGGGAGGCGGTATGGAAGGAGCGGCACCATCTCTGAGGGCCCCCAGATCCCCAAACCCATGGGCTAGTCACAAACATGTCTCACCAGCAACCACAAAGGAGGACCATTTGCCATGCAGAGTGGAAAATAATGAACATTTAGCAAAAGACTTGCGGGGGGGTGCAGGGAAAGTAGACTCCAGGCAGCGCCAGCCCCTCCCCCTGGGGAATGGAAGCGGCCCGGTGTGAAATATTCTTGCCCAAAGTCAGCAGCCCAGTGTTCTGGGTGCCTCGTGCCTCTACAGGTCAGATTCTTAGCACAGCTGGCCCAGGGTCTGGGAGTGAAGAAAACCTGGGGTATCTGCGGGAGACCTGGAAAGGGTGGGGTTCATCCAGGACCCCAGAAGGGGCAAGCTTGTCTATTAAGAGCCGGTGGGGAAAAGGGTGAGAGGGTACCTCTTGGTCCTGGGAACGGGTGCTTGACTCAGCAGAGACCAAGGCAGGGCTGAGGGACATCTCTCTGGGCCTGGGGGGAGGCAAGAGAGATGGGAGCTGAGGAAGAAGGAGTGGGGAAGAAAAGTGGGGGGGGGGGAGGTGGAAGTGTAGCCAAGGTGAAGAAAGAGGGGGAAAAAGAGAAGGGAGGAAAAAAGAGGTTGGGGGAGGGGAAGGAGGGAGGTGAACAGGGGCGCGGAGGAGGAGGAGGGAGGAGGAAGAAAGGGGCGGGGCCAGGAGAGGGAAGAGAAGGGGGAGGGGAAGGGAAGAGAAAGGGGAGGAGGGGGAAAGAGAGGGGAGCGGAGGAGGGGCCTGCGCGCCCTCGGTTCCCGCGCCGGCCTCCGCGCCCTCGCGCGCCGCAGCATCCCCGCCACCGACGCTGCCGCGGGCCTCCTCGCTGCCCCCTCCCCGGCCTGGCTGCCTCCAGCCGCCGCCTCCGCCGCCGCCATTCCTGGCGCCCTATCTCGCCCGGCCGGGAGCAGCCGCGGGCAGGACGCGCGCTCCAGGTAAGCGGCTGGGCTGTGCTGGAGAGAGGGCGCGCGGGGCCCGGCAGGTGCGCTGGGGACGGCCTGGACACCCAGCGGAGCCCCCACTCAACGTCCCTAGCCTCCTCCCCGGACCCTCGGAGCCCTCCCTGAACCCCTGAGGAGCCCCTTTCCGGGACTCCCCGGATCCCTGGACTCCTTCCTGGATCCCCCCCGGTCACCTCCCGGTCGCCTCCCGGAGACACCTACCCGGAGCCCTTCTTGGACCCCTCCGACCCCCTGGACCCCTCTGCGATTCCCTCCCCGGCCTTCTCCCGTTCCTGGGTGCCTCCCCAGTCACTGCGCGCAGGTGGCCCCTCTGGGCGCGGGGGAGCGGGGGCGCGCTGCAGACCCTGGCTAGGGAGGGGGCGGCGCGCTCGGCCAGGCCCCGCCGCGCCCGGCGTGACCGGTCCGGCCCCGCCAGGTCAGGCCCCGCTCTGGCCAGCCCGGACTCCGGCCGGGCCCCTGCGGTCTTCTATTTTGGTCGCGGAGGCCGCGGCCTCTGTGTACAGGACTCGGCGCTGCTCACTCAGACAGGTGGGGCAGGTGGGGCCGCTGTGGTATGGTCGCCGCCAGGGCAGTGAGTGCTCTGCAGGCCTCGGTTTCCTTTAGGGTTTTGGCTGCATTATTTTAGAACAGCCCAGGAGAACCACAAGCCTTAGCCCGGGCTGCACCTGTTGCAGCCGCCTGGTGAGCTGCAAGGGGCTGGCTCCACTGGGGTTACGCCAGTAAAAACATGTAAAGGAGGGTTGAGCTCGTGGTTGTCCTCTTTATTTATCTGGCTTAGTATTTTGGGGGGCCGGTGGGGGTGGGTGGGTGAATGGGACTCTGTATGTGGGCAGTTTGCCTCAAGTGAGGCCTGCTGTTGAGGGCTGGGTCCTGCTTTCCGGAACGTTTGCCATGTGAAGTTGCTTTGCTTTTGTTTTGAAAACCTCACTCTGTTGAGCACATCCCAGGCTCGTGGGTGGCCAGGTCCTCAGAGGCCAAGCTGGACGTGGGGCCTGGGGCCAAGCATGTCACCCTGCTGTTCTGAGCCTTTTCAAATTCGCCAGGCGCCACTGAATGGAAGTTTCCTTTCCTGGGGGTGAAGTGACACCGGTGGCCTGTCACCTCATATGTGTCCTAGGCCTGGGGCCTGCCTGCTGGCTGTCCAGGAGAGGTTATTTGGGAATGTTTACTGTGTCCCAGAAACAGGCAGCTCTGGCCAGTGCAGAGGCAGGATTCTGGTAGAGATGATGATGCCCTGATTGTCGTTTTGACAGTTGGTGTCTGTATATATCATGTCTTGGTAGTCGTCAGCCGGAAGAAGAAAGCATGTGGGCTCTGCATACCCACCAGGGAAGCTGGGCTGTTTCTGTGGGCAAAGACTGCCTTCCCAGAAGGCCAAACCTTCAGACTGAGAAAATTGTACCTGGTACACTCAGTAAGTCAAACAAAGAAATAAAAACAAATCACCGGTGCCAGCAGCAGCCCTGCGGTCCCAGGAGGGTGGGCTGCTTAGGAGTTGGTAGACAGAGGAACTCAGTGGCTGTATTTCAGAGTGCATATGGGCAAAGGCCATCATGGGGAGGCAGAACCCCAGCTGCCACGCCGGCCCAAGCTCTTGCAGCACAGTTAAAGGGAGGGAGTCTATGGGAGGGGGCCCACCTTCTGACAGGCACACCCAGAGTCTGCTGAAAATGCAGCCTTGCACAGACCCCTCCCTGAGCACCTGGGGTCCTGGGCAACAGCCTGTCCTGGGCTGAAATGTGGAGTGCAAGGCCAGTGACCATGTTGCACTTGCTGTCCAGTGGATCTGGGGCCCGGGAGGTGTCCTTGGTGACATCATCCACTTGTGGACAATCCTCCCCATGTGGACTGCTGGAGGCAGATGCTCTCTAGAGCTGCCTTCCCCACACCAAGCAGTGTGTCTAGGCCAAAGCTTGGGAGTGCATGCTAATGGCTGGCTTTGAGGGGGGAGGGACCGTGCGCTGCTGCCAGCACGGCAGCAAAATCAATAATGCATTGCAAAGATCAATGGTTTTCTCTATCTTCTGTGCTTCTGGATTGAGCCTGTGCAGGCTTCTGCCTCTCTTGGTTCCATTTCTGGTGGGGAGGGAGCAATGGTTGGGTCTAGGAGGGTGGTTGCAGATTCTCCTCCTGACCCACTAGAGCCAGAGCTCCGGGGAGGACCCATGAAGGTGAAACTTGCTGTGAAAATATAGAAATAAATGTGCCATTGGCCGACCATTGAGCTTAGTTGCTGAGAGAAAGGCTGCTGTCTGTTGTTCCCAACCAAGGCAATGATTTCTTCCCTGAACTTGGACAATTCCAGGAAGAAGACTCACAAGTGAGAAGGGAAGAGGCAGAGGCACCTGGGGTGGGTCCTCTCTTCCCTGGGCCAGGTTCCACCCTGGGCTTGGCAGGTTGCAGCGTCCACAGCCCTGCCCATGGCATCCCCTTCACCGTGACCATTGCCATCCGGTGTCTAGGGCTGTCCTGGATGTCTCAGGGTGTCACCCAAGAGCTGAGCTTGTAGAGCAAACTCCCCTGCACACAACAGGGAGAGGTTTGCTGGGGACTTTGCTGCTGAGAGATGACATGGGAAAGCAGAGGTTTATTAGGAGCTATGTGCTGATTCAGTCAGGTGGAGAAGGTGTGCCAGGGCCGTCCCTGGAAGCTGGGTGATGTTTTCGGCACACTAATTAAGGTGATCCTTGGGATAAGCAAATTGCTTTGCTGCATGTGGCTCACTTTCCAGCTTTTGTGACCTTCCCTGAGTGAATTTGCATTTGCCTGGGGGTGTCACTGCAGGGGCTCCAGCTTTCTACTGCCTTGATGTGATTATCCCTGGGGAATCAACAACAGTCTGAGGGTGCAGAACCCCACGACGACCACCCTCCCACAGCACCTGTGCAAGCCTCAGCGGGGAGTGGAGGGGGTGGGGTGCAGGCAGAGTCCTGCTATTTGGTCCAGAAGTTTCACCTGCTGCCCATCAGAGCAATGACTGCATCCCTGTCCTGGATTGCATCTAAGTGGCACCCCGAGATTTCTGGCTTTGATGAAAGCCTGACCCAGAGCTCTCACTTGGATCAGCACTTGATCCAAGAATCACTCCTTTGAAAATGAGGCTATTGATGTGTCTCCTGGACATTTGTGGAGTGAATGACAATTTTAAGGAATTCCTTAATTACAGCATTGTGGTTATGTTAGAACAATCTTTACCCTTTAGCCATAGATACTGAGTGTTGGTAGATGAAATGATGTTTAGGATCTGCCTCAGATTAGTGTGGGGTGGGGAAGCAGAGGGGATGAGGAGGGATGGGATTGTCTGAGTGGACAGTTTGGGGTCTGGATGAGAGTACCTGGATTCTTCGTTTTGTTCTGGCTACTTCCATGCACTTTCAAAACTCCCCATCATAAAAAGTTAATAATGATCAGAGATCTCCAATTCCCCTCTTAAAACATGCCATTGGATCTTTTACTTCATGATGACACTATTCAAAGGTTTACTTTAAAAAATGTGCCAATATATTAGGTGGAAACATTGTTCCTTAGTGTAGACTGTAGAGAATGTGTCCTTTTCATGTACCGATGTGGGTGCTTAGCACGGAAGCCCATCTGGAAGGACACACACCTGGTATTCAGCAGATCATCATGGAGCCGCCTGTGTGGACCTGGGTGCCAGACGCTGCCCCAGGCTCTAGGGACACAGCCCGGACTGAAGGCGGCACTCCATAGTTAGCAAAGGGTGGGGCTTGTGTGCATGTGAGTGTGTGTGTGTGTTTGTGCATGTAAGTGTGTGTGTGTGCATGTAAGTGTGCAGTGGGAGTGTGTTGGGGGAGGAGAGGGAAGAGGAAGAGGGAACCTATACTTTCCTCTCATACTTATGTATGGTTTGTTTCTGTTACAAAAGAATTTTTTTTGTAATTACAAAATGAGTTTTTAAAAAGTGGTCTTCATTAGGTCATATACTTTCCTCCAGCATTTTAAATAGAATTTGATTTGTGGAAACTCATGTTTCTACACATCTTAATAATAGATGAATTGGCTTCCATGAGGCAGTCAGTGAATCAGTAGTTGTTAACCCTCTGAGTATGTGCTTTGTGGGCTATGAAGGATAGAAACCAATACACTACTATCTGCATCAGGGAGACAAGATGAAGACCCTGACGATTAATATTAGTAAGGTCCAGTGACAGAAGGGTCAGCCTTACCCTTGATACCGAAACAAAGGCTGAGTCTATTCGGGAGCTGGCACCTGGTGGGTCCCCATTGCCGATTGGCCAACCTGGACCTGGGGCTTGTTCAGGCATTTTCTGCGGCGCCTTTGTTTTCTCTTTACATTTAGTGGAGGATATGTTAAGTAACCTAAAGCTATAGCAAAAACATAGAAGTGGTGCATGCTGCAGAGAAGTCTGCAAAGTGGGAAGTACAAGTTGCTTAGAATTCTGATAGTTGTTGTATTTTCCTGGTCTGTTGCAAGAAACTAGAGTTGCTTGAGCAGCTAGCATGTGATCTGCCTTGATGTAGAGTTTGGGTGTTTGTTGGGACCTCTGATTTGTATGTGTGTTTTGATTTTGTTTGGAAGGACAGAAAGTTTCCCGTTAGGCCTGCAGTTGGTCCATTTGGTTCTCACTGGGAGTTTGGGAGCTTTAGTTTGTTGTTGTTTCTGACCGGTGTGTCCCATGTGCTGTGAGGGCACAGCTGGGTGCCGCAGCTGGGCTGTGGCGGGGCTGTGAGCCCTGGCCGATCCTTGGGGCTGAGGGTCCTGGCACATGTTCATCGTCATGCTGCCGGGAGCCGCCTGCCTTCTCGCCTGCACAGAACCACCGCATGGATGGATGCACATTCTTTCCTCCCACCTGAATCACACTTGTCCTGTACAGTCCTGTCCTTCTGAGGGCCCACAAAGAGCTGAGGCATCTGGGGGGAGTCACAGTGCCGGCACCTCTGGGCCCTGGCAGGTGATGCTACTGTGCCTTAGGTTCCGGATGTGAAGGAACTGCTTATGTTTCAGGGCCCTCCCAGCTCTTGAACCTGTCCGCTTCAGGAAGTTTCACTGCTTCCCCAGAAAACATGTATTAAATGCCAGTGATGGCTGGGGGCTGCTGGGGATACGGTCAGGTGGAGGGAGATGGGAGGCTAATGAGAGGGGAGAGAGAGTTCCAGGTCTAGGCGCTCAAGGGGCCAGCGGTTTGTTGAGGGGTAGTTGTTATTTAAAATCTGATGGCCTCCGTGCCCTGCTGAGCCCTAGATGTGGGGGAGGTGAGGAATGGTGAGGGGACACTTCGGCACACATAAGCAATGGCAGGAGGGTGGTGCGGGTGGGCCTTGCAGGAGCTTGGCAGCCTGCTC